CCATTCGCTGAGAATGTTCGGAGGACTGGGAATAGTGTGTCAGCTGCCCTCTTCTGGGGAGGAGGTCTACGGCCAGGGGGTGGGGGAGAGAAGAGGTACCAAGAAGGGAAAGGGAGAGCTGAGCAGGAGTCCAGGCCTCAGCAGAGCTGCCTGTCTCTCCGCCCTCCCCCACGGTCCCTAGCAGCTCTGGGACAATGCTGTGCTGAGCCCCACTAGACACCAGGTGTCGCTGGGGAAAGGGACAGGGCTCAGCGCTGGGATGAAGGAGCTGTGCTGTCTGTGAACCAGGGGCTGCTTGTTGCCGCCTGGAGCGATGCCTCCAGGGGCAGAAAGCAGCCCCACTTCTTCTTCCGATCCGCATGGGTCCTCAGCACTCAGGGGTCTGTCTCCCTTCCTCCCTGCACCCCGTGACCCAGGCCTCCTGCATCCTTGTGGATGATTTCAATGTTAACCACTCCCATATGTCTCCCAGTTGGAGATGCAGTGATGTCCTCAGTATAGGGAACTGCTGCCACAAAGTATGGCAGTTGCCCAAGTCCTCTAAAGCTGTAAAAGGAAAACAAAACAAAACCAAAAACACAAAACAGAAACCAGGCTCTCGGGTCCAGGCCTCTGTCTACACTGCACTTCTCTAGGCAATGCTGCTGAGGCCAGGCTCGAAGTGCGGTCCATGTCTTCTAGATGAGGAAGGGCACCACTCGGCCTCCGGCCTCCGGCCTCCAGCCTCCACACTATTTTGTGGAGGGAGGGTTGCTGAGGCTGGAGGGGTGGCTGGATCATGGTCCAGTGGCCAGAGCCCCGAGCTGGGATTCAGGATACCTGGCTCAGACACTATGTGCGACCTTGTGCAAGTCACATGACCACTCTGAGCCTAAGTTTCTCATGATTGGGGTTATTGTAGTGAGCAACCCAGAGCAGGTGGGAAAGGGCTGGGTGTGCTCTTAAGGGAAGAACTCTTGTGAGAGATCACAATGATGCAGCAGTTCGCCACGTCCTCTGGTTCCCTTCCTCACTGCAGACACGCCTTTGGTGAAGTGGGGAAGTACAGAGCTCAGGCCTGGGAGCTGGCCTATCTCCTGTGCTGCTGTCACTGGGGAAAGTAAAGTCACTGAAGCTACAGTGACAGGACATTTTGCAAAAAGGGAACATTCTGAAGGCCCCACCAATGGCCCACTTCCCTGGCTGGATAACTGCTGGTGGCCCAAGCTGTCCAAGGCTCTCGGTGAGTGGAGCCCAGCACGCACAGCTCTTGGCACCCCACCAGATAGAGATTCAAAGATAGTGGCGTGCACTCTTACTAGTCATGGCCTGGTACCCACCCTTCCCTGGCGCATGCCTCCCAGGCAGGGACAAGGTCCAGGAAGACATGCCAATGGTCCAGCACTCACGTCTGGCCCGGAAATGAGTCTGCTAGAGCTCCAGTCTGGGTCTGTGTCAAAATCCAGATGTCAGGGCCTCCCTCGGCAACAGGTCTCTTGGATTCTCAGGCCCAAATCCATGGCCAGTGGGGTCTTTCTGGCTTCCTGCTGGGTTTATGCTTCTCCCAAGTTGAGCTCCTATCCAGCCTCCACGAACACCCCCACAGCACCGCCACGTCCCACCACAGGTGTACAGGGCACAGGCCTCCATCATCCCCCGTAGAATGCTGCCGCCATCTCCCTTCTGAGCCTGGGCACTTTAAGGGAATGCAACTCCTCTAGGGGACAATGCAGCTCACGCTGTCAGTGGGGCTAGTGCTGCTAAAGGCCTTGACCCTCAGGCAGCCCCCAAAACACTAAAGGCTGTTATCCCAGAATGGGAGCCTGGCCATACTGCCTGTGTAGAGAAGGGAGAGCATCTCTTCAACTTATTGCCTGTGCATTTGCTCCCGCAAACAATTACAGAATAATTTCTGCACTAAATTATTCAGACATTTCCCTGCCATATATGGAAGTACTGTTCTGCAGTTTGCTATTTTCCCTCAGACCTCTTTCCAGTCAACAAGTACAGATCCACTTCATCATTCTGAGTGGTCACCTAGTACTTAATTGTTTGGGTGCACCTCATTTTACTTAGCACAGTCCCCCATTGATGGTGGCTTCTGGGTCTTCAGTGTTATAAGCAGTGGCAGGGTAAACACTGCTGCACATAACATACACTCCCATGCCTCTCCCTCAGGTCCGATGGGATAATGAGGAAGCCTGAGTTTGGAAAACCTAACGGAGAGCAGGTGGGAGGAGTCTGCCCGAGTGTGGAGGGGCCTTCGGCAGAAGAGAGAGATGGTAACAGCAACAGCATCCTAGCCCTCCCTACTAGGTAAAGCTTTAACAGTTTGTCCTGTGATGCTCAAAGCAGTCCTGGGAGAGGAGCTGGGAAGGCAGGGGTGATCCTGCTGTTTTTACAAATGAAGACTCCGATAAAGTGGTGTGAAGGGTGAGCCTGAGGGACAAGAGGAAACCCACAGCCACCACGGCACTTCTTACTCGGGGAAGGGCAAAGCTAAGGAGAGACCAGGAGTGGGTTCTGAGAGCAAGCCATAAAACATAAGAGCAAACTGAGGCTCAGAGAGGGGGATGGACTTGCCCAGAGTCCCACAGCAAGTGGGAAAGCAGAGAGCTAGAAGTAATGACCATTGTTCGCGTGGCTTCCTTCTGGCCCTCTTCCCAGGCCCGCTGTCTGGTGACCTGGTACCCAGCTTGCTCACATGCAGATATGTTGGGAGTGCCATGTTTCTCTGGTTCCATTTCTGGCCCATTGACCCTATCACTCCCCATGACATCCACACCCTGCAGGTCACTCTGCCTCGCAGTCTGGGTACAGGTCCTGGAGCCCAGATGAAGGCAGCAGCCACGTTCCCTGCCTGGGTACTCTGCCAGTAAGGAAATGAGGCTTGTCTGGCACAACCAGCTCAGTCAGGCAAACCTCATTTCCTTTCTGATGGTGTAAGACGTTCCAGTTCTAAGAAGAAATCGGCCCCTAGGAATGTCCAAACTCCAACCTCCTGGAAGAAACGAGGGGAGGGGAGCCCAGGAGTTCAGTGGAGACTTGGCAGCACCTCGAACTTGGTCATCTTCGTATTTCCTCCCCCTCCCCCTATCCTCCCCCAACACAGCTTCCCTCTGTCATCAGCAGCAAATACTCCTGCCTTGCGGGGGCGGGGGTTACTTATAAACCTCCACGGGCTCCCACCCACCTGGGCCCCACAGCCCTGCCTCCATCTGTGGGTCAGTGATTTGGCATCCTGGTCACATTCTCCCATGGAAAAGAGGTACTGTGTTGGGGAAGAGGGGGATTCTGGCGCCCGCCAAATCCCAACTGCGGCTACTGGGCTCTGCCTGGCTCAGACTTGGTTGGGGTCCCAGGTGGAGTGGGAGGGTAAGCGCACTTCTCAGGGAAATGGCCAATCCCAGGAGCCTGTCCCTGGCCCCCTTCCTCCCACCTTCTTCCTCTCCTGGAGCCTTGGAGCCCACCAGAGGGTGAGGGCTCAAGCCACTCTCCTTCCTCAAGGCTGCCATTCCAAGCACCTTCACTCAGAGGAGGCAGGAAGGGGTCGGAAAACAGCACTAGTGAGGACCTAGGTGTCTCCAAAAAGAGGAGTGATCACTTACCCTGAGATCCAGGCACCCAACTGCCACATAGTTAAGCCCCAGACATGTGCCCTAGAAGAGGAAAAAGGATGCTCCCCAGCCCACTTGGCATGTGGGCAATGTGTGCACAGCAGTCTGTGTGTCCATGTCATCACGTGTGTCCACCTGCACTTGTAAAAATGTAACAAATACTTGTTACACATACAAAGCTCATTATGAGCCAGGTGTGGTCCGAGGGCTTTCTAAGATTAACTCACTTGATCTTCCTACCAACACTGTGAAAGAGGCATCCCCATCAGATGAACAAACTGAGGCACAGGGAGGCTAAGTCATTTGCTCAAGGTCATAGAACTCAGAAGAGGCAACAGCAGGGTTTGAAGCCAGGCATCCTGGCCTCTCCTAGGCACATGTCAAGTGTGTTACACATGTTGGTGTATATGCATCTGTGTGGATGTGCGCACCTCTGGGGAGGGAAGGGTGCTCCTCTTAACCTGGACCTTACAGCTTCAAAGCCCTGTAAGGCAGCACTTTATCTAAAGGAGTCTCCTGGTCCAAAGTGAGATCTGAGTCCCAGCCACCTCTGCTCAAGCCTGAGGCCATTAGGGATCCTTCCAGCAGTCACAGGGGTGGGTGGAGACAGCAGATGGCCCTGGAGGGGCTACAAGGGGCTGCCCTTCCTGCTCCTGCTTCCCAACCGGTCCCACAATTGCAGCTCCATCCCAGCAGGGCCTGTGGCCCCCTCAGCCCGGACAGCGGGGGTGACCTCTGCTGCACATTGGTTTCCTCTGATCCATGTCTTCCAGATGCCAATTTAATCCAGCCAGCAACCAGAGGCTGCCGGTGCCTGAGCCCAGGGACACTGAGGAGGAGGCAGCACCCAGGGTACTTACTGTCTCAATGCCTTGGGTTTCAGCTAAGACCCTTTAGAGCATCTGGTTAAATTTCCTGCAGCTGACAAGAAAGCTTATTTATCCAAGTTAAACTGTGAGCACCTTGTGTCAACGGCTCTGAGAACCATCTCAGAACGATGCTGGCATTTGTGGAAAACAGCAGAATGTGGCCAGAGAGCCGCTGGGGGAACTTCTACTCTGAAGCAGCACCAGCTACTATGGAATGAGTACCCATGAGGTGTCAGGTGTAGTTTCAGACACATCATCTCTTTTAAGCCTCAAAAGGTCTCTATGTGCTATCAATCCCCTTTTACAGACATGAAGATGAGGCTCAGATGGGGAAACGGCTGACTGCAGGCAGGTGCGGGTGCTCTAACTGTGTGATCCCAGGCAGGTGTGTGTGGAGCGTAGCCAGGCGAGATCCCACCTCCTCCCCTCACCCAGCCCCCTACACCCGACACCCCCTGAGTGAGGCAGGCGCAGGAGGCAGACATCGTCTGCTTTCCTCAGATCCTCCCATCGTCAGAAGAGAAACCACATGCTGTTACAAAGATAGGGTCATTTATTCACGTTATATTACCAGATTTTGAAGGCAAAAATACAGTTCTGCTTTGAACACCAAGATCAGACATTCCCCCACCCCCCACTTACAATGGCAGATACATACATTTGCATACACGGGAAATCGAAATACACAGCACGACAGGTCTCTAGGACAGGAAAGCTGCCCTCCCAGCGGTGTGGGGCACCCCACATCCAGCCCTGAGGTCAGCAGAGACACTGCCTGGGCTGAGAGCCAGCACCAGCATTTCATTCACACCCTTGTACCACCTCTGCCTTCTGATCTTTCTCAAAGGCCACTTGACAGGGTCACCAGCAGTGGAATGAACAGAAACAGAGAAAGGCACAGCACATGACAACTTCATGGCGATAACTTCCAGGTGAAGGAAATGCTCTCTGAACCCTCATCCCCAAACGGCCCAGGGAGGAAACAGGCCCTGCAGCATCTCATGACCCAGGCAAGGTCCAGGCCTAACCTGGGGCCCAGGTGGGCCCCTTGAGAGCACCAGAAGGTTAGCGAAGGGGTGAAACAGGATTTCCCTTGGTCCTGAGAATGAACCACATACTTGACTATTCCAATGGAACATGGAGGAAAACGTAATAGGAAAACAAAACAAAAAGAATTTTGCTTTAAGAGTAAAATAACAAAAAGGTTACCACCCAGGGTTATTTGTCTCCTTTCTTTTAAGGCACTTTGGAAAAGTCAGGATCTGGGGACAGAAAGAGAGGCCTTCATTCTTTGCATTTCCCCAAACCGCCTCTCAGTGCACTCATTCTTAGCTCTATCAACATCGCTCTCAAGGAGCAGGGAACTGACAGAAGGAATACTCTTCGCACAGCCCAGCTGCTTCTGCAGTGGAAAATAATTTGTAACCAATACAAAGGCTTCTGGGGAAAGAACCAAGTCAGCATCTGAGATGTTCAAAGTGATAAAGGCACAGGTAAGATTGGGGCTGGGCACCAACTCAGCCTCCACACTGAGGGCTGGCTTCCCGAAGGTCAGTGGTGGAGGTCCAGGCTGCCACGAGCTGAAAGGTCAACCCTAGGATTAGAAAGCTAAATCCTAAGTCCTTAGCCTGGGCTGGACCCAGCAAGGGCGCCCAGTGGTAGGAACTGCCTTGTGCACCTCACCTCAGGCAGGCTAAAACCTCCCGCAGCAGAGGTGGGCTTGGGGAAGACACTCCCTGTGGGTCAGCCTCCCAGGAGTGGGAGCACCTCCTAGAAACCTGAGGGGGGACGGGAGGCTTTAGGCACCAGAGTGGTCGTGGGGAGTGTGAGTGGGTTCAGCTGAACTTCTTTCTAGATCTCTAATTAAAAGGCACATTCATGCTAGAGGATGAACTCTGTTTGAACCTGAGCGCCACACGCCAGTTTTAGGGAACAGGCGAGAGGCAAAGGAACAAAAATGGGGAGGCAGGAAGGAGAAAGGCAGCGGAAGAGAGGAAGGGGAAAGAAGGAGAACCAGTCCTGCGAGGTGGGCCAGGCGGTGCTGCCGGCAGAGCCAGCAGGGCAGCCCCCAGGGCCACGTGGAGGCTTCCTCCACCTCCCCAGGCTGAGGGCCCGCAGACAGCCTCATTTACAACTCCACAGCCTAGGGCCCTAATGGGAGGCCCTGGGGTCAGTCTGAGGAGGTGGGGGTTCCCTTTGCCCTGCCCACCTGGGGAGGGGGGGAGTTGGAGAGGTGCGGATCTGGGCCAGGCAGGCCGAGGCTTCCCTGCCACCACCAGAGGTCCAGCATAATGCTGATGGGGAGGGAGGCCCACCTCTCACCAAAGGGCCCAAAGGTGATTTTGCTCTTCAGAAAACCTGGCCCGCCAGCTACATCAGAGGCCCGTGTGTGGCAATCACAGCATACATTATTTTTTTCCCTCTAAAAAATGCTCAATCCCCTCCCCACATGTAAAACACCACAATAAAAATACATAGGAAATTCAAGTTTACATAGCATGCTCAGAGAAATAAATTGCCATGACTTAACACTAAACAGCTATGCAAATCTGGATCAACACAAAATCAAGCTAGATTATAATTAGAACCTGATTTGTTCTTTCTTTAAAATACTACAAACTGCTACTGAAAAAAAAGGATTTACATTCAGAAATCAGACAATCTGGAGAAAGGCCACTGAATGTGAGAACACCGAAGGCTTTTGCTCTGGTGGCTAAAGTCACCTTGGAATTCACACGTTAGCAGGGCAAAAGGTCCAAGGCTCAAGTTTTAAAATTCTTTTGCTAAGAAAAGACACACACGCATGCGCACACACACACGATTGTAACAGTTGCATACCACCAAAAGAAGGTGGGGGGTGGAGCTAAAATGAGAATGGTTAAAATTGTATTTTTCTATTACAATATGACAACCAAAGATCATCACAGCAATGCAATTTCAGCAGCACTCTCCACGTATTCACAAAGTAATATTACTACAATTTAAAGCGCAGTTCTTACCTATCTGACAACAAATTAGCAGGTTTTTTTTACTGGGAATGAGTCCCACAGTCACTAGATTTGGGGGTGTGTATAGCTCTGGTTCTTTGGGGTCACTCTGTGAACAGGCTTAGAACCCTCCAAAGGCTGACGGTTTCTATGCTTAAATACACCTCGGAGGGCTAAGAAGTCACGTGCCGAGCCAAGTTGGGGGCCAAATGTCCCACTCGTCCTGGTCATCTGGAAAGGCATCTGAATGATGAGCAGAGAGGGCCCATCACTCTAATTGGTAAGAATGAGAAGGACCAGCCCAGCAGATTGGCAGAGATACCCAGCAGAGGTCCCTGGCCATTTTCAGGTCTCTTTATCAGTGTACCAAAACGCTAGCTCGGTGTCCCGATGTCGACTGTGATTTTGGTATACAACGGGTATCTCTGAACGTCCAGCACCAGGTAGGTAAGTGTGTTCAAACCATCAGAGAGCATCGTCTCTTTTGTGTGTGCAATTCGGTCAAACCTACAAGGGAAAAACAGGCAAAGGGTTGGAGTCAAAAAAAAAAATCTTAAGAAAAAAAAATTAAATGTTTGTACTTCATGGCCCCTCCTCCCTCCTCCTCCAACCCTATCCTGTGGATCAAACCCTCCCTCTCTCTAGGCATGGAGCCCACTCCAGAGCCTCATTCCTGCAGCCTGCCTCATCTGAAAAGGGGAAGAAGGAAACTCACACAGAGGAGAGAATAAAACACAGAACACACCTCTGAGGATTAGGTTCATTTTTCTTGTCTCTTGAGTGGCGGATCATCCGACACTTCCCGATCACAGCATTTGGGCGAGATACAGACATGCCTTTGAAAGCTAATCTGTAAGGAGTAAAGGGACAAGTCATCATTACAGAGCAGCCAGAAGGCTCGCGTCCCACAGTCCCAGCTGCAGGACTCTTGTCCAGCCATCCTGCCTGCTGTTCTCAATGGCCCAGACCCCAGCCCAGCGGGGCACTGGCTAAAACTCACACCTTCCCCATAACCTTTGACCACTGGTTTGAGATCTTGTTGGTGACTATCCTGTGCCAGGCACTGGAGGTGTCTGCCTTCATGGAATTTATAGTGTGGATACTTAGAACACAGGGCCACCAATGCCAGGAAGGAAATTGTAAATACAGTTGTAAATGTATTTGTAAATACAATGAAAATGTTATGTAAATAGTCGCTAGTGCACAGCAAACTCAAGTTTTGCTTTTTGGAACTCTCTGGAATTTTTTTTTCGGAATATTTTCGATTGGTGGTAGGCTGAATCTGTGGATGCAGAATTCCCAGATACAGACAGACAGCTGACTGTATACAGTGTTTCTCAAAGGTTTTTGGCCAAGGGGAAGTCTCTCTGGTTAGAAGTGTATGAATGGAGATTCGGGAACAAGACTAGAGGCAGCCAGAACAAGGTGGAAGGTTCTGTGAAGGTTCTGGGAGAAAACGAATGAGGACCAAAACCAAAGCCTTGATGGCAGGAATGCAAAGTTAGCTAAGGGGCAGGAATGGCTGGTCCTGGATGACTCCAGGGTTCCCAGCCTGGCCTTCCCCGGTGCTGAGCTAGTGCCTGGGACTCAGTGAGTCGGTTCATAATAAAAGTTAGGTTCCTTATCTTTCAAGAAAGCTGCTCCAGGGGGAGGGGCAAGATAGGGGTAGGGAGTTCAGAGGAACAAATTACTATGTATAAAATAAATAAGCCACAAGGTTATATTGTACAGCACAGAGAATACGGCCAATATTTTAGTAATTATAAGTGGAGTGTAACCTTTAAAACCTGTGGATCACTATGGTGTATACCTGAAACATACAATATTGTACATCAACTATATCTCGATTTTAAAAAGAAAAAGAGAAAAGAAGGCTCCTCCACAAACCACTCATCCTTCCAGGCCCTCCTCCCTCGGGGGTCCGTCCTTGGTGCTCCCTCCTGCCAACCTTCCTGATCACTCAGGTCTGTGCTGTCATGTCAGCCCTGGACACCATCCTGCGGGCCCAGTGTGCCCAGGCGTGGTGCTGTGGAAGCAAGCTTGTTTCTGTCTGGACCCCGTGTTCAGGGCTTCCGTGTCCTCCTCCCCATTGGGCCTGCCCGGCCCAGTGCTCTGCATATTGATAACCAGTCTGTACACTCTACAACTCAAGTGTTCTTCAAGGCCTGTATTAAAGACAGGTCTATACCAAGTTCTCATACAAAGCGAACCTTAAATGACTTGGGTGCTGCTCTGACAGATACCTGTTAATGACCAAATTAATGTACTCCAATTAAGAAAGGCACTATCCAGCTCAGTGACAGATTCAGACTGGCTCCCAGAGGGACGATGTGCTTTTTCCCTGAGGCTGGCAGGGCTGAAGACTCCATTACCAGGAAGAACTGGGCAGAATGTCGTTTCAAATGCCACCGACAGATGGCTTTTTATCATCTGTGATGACAGCTACATGATAAAGGTTTCCCAGCTTACAAAGAGCCCCAGGGTGTGGATGGTCATGTAGTACAAGTCAGAGTAAACTCACCCCTTTACTTGGTTCTCATTTTACATTTTCCAAAAGGCTAGTGCAAAAAGCACAGAAGTTTATTTTCCTAAAGACATTCTACAGCAAGGCACACCTAAGTTATTTGGGCTGGGTGGGGACTGCGTCTCTCCTGAGGGTCAATCCTTGCAGAATAACCAAGCACTGATAGAAAAACCAGAAGTAAAGGGAGACAGGGAAGAAAGAGATTTAAGTTGTGACCATTACCTGTTAAAAATGTCATCATCTTCACCTCCCCAGCCCCAATAATTATTAGGAAATCCATTGATGGTGAGAAACTGTTGTTTACTTAAAGCAGAGACACCTCCAAAATACTGCAAATAAGGTAGGCTGGTGAAAAAAAACACACACACACACAAACACAGAGGACCAGTGGTTAGTAAATTGTGACTTTTCAAAATAAAGCTTGCTCAAAGTATAAACACTGCTAAAGTTATTTTTATTCTCTGCAACTTTGAAATTGGGGATTTATGAAGGTTTCCTGTGTTTTGTTTTCATATCAGACTCAGATTATTTTAGAGAAGACACAGATATCAAAAAGTAGAATCTTGCTCTTTCTAAGAACACTGTGCTGCTTCTGTGGTTATCTAGAAAAGCAATCAGTGGCAAGAGTGTAAGCCCAGTTCTTCTGCACTGCTCAGGGATCTGCTCCCACACAGGAAAGCCTTATCCAGGAGGTCCTAGAAACTCAGACTGCTTTCAAGTCTCCCTGTGCCCACTCCATCATGCTCCCCCTTCCCACCCCAGCCTATCCACAGTCTGGCTTTCATTCTTCCAAAGGTACACTGGCCTGAAAATTAACCCCAACGGTCAAGACTGCATTTCTGAAAACTTGCTAAAATTAAATTTCCTTGGAAGTTTCTGCCACATCCTGCCTTAGCAAAATGTATCATGGTGAATCTCTGGACACATCTTCAAGCAGCAGGGCATCTGGGCTCTCATCCTTTCAAACCTTTTTGTATTTCAGTTATTTCAGTGGTTATGAATCATGGACTCCTGAGGGATGCAGAGGGAAAACTGACGAGAAATGTTAAGAATCTGGATGTGTCCGGAGACCATGCAAAGGCCTTCCCGTAGGTCCTTTAGAGGCTGTGGTTTTGTGACGACCCTGCGTGCAGCCCCAAACCACACTCGGGCTTTTATAGGAATCCAAAGAGACCAAAACCCATCATACAAATTAAGGAAAACTCTAACTCAGACTTTGAGGGGGAAGTCAGCCAAACCATATAGAACATACGAAAAAAAGATGCAATTATTATTTTCAAATACATTCCGGAATTCTGACTGCAAGTAGCCACAAGCAAAGATCCCTGGGGGAACCTGCTTTAATGAATCAAGGGAATCTCCTAGTAATTAGGTCTTATCATTGAGGTGCCAGGTCATCCTCCTTTGGCATACCACACACTACAGCCGGCACTCGTAATGTGAGGGTTTGAACCAGAGGTGGCCAGACCATAAAGGCTTTTTTCATAATGAATGCTTTTACAGAAATGGACTGTTAGCCACTTCAATGGGGAAGTACATGCTAGTTTGACAAGATTCGGTTTTGCTGTCTCTGCTGCTTTCTCTTACCTGCCCCGTCCCCCAAGCCTAACCGCTTCTGCGTGAAACAAACATGGTGTTGTGGTAAAGGATGAGGAGGTAAGCATCACCATGCTTCAAAGGAGGAATTCAGAGGAGCCAGCGTCTCTCAAAGAGAAGACACACAAACAGGGAGGGAGCGAGGGAAGACAGGGTACAGATTGCTGTTTATAGTCAGATCTCCTCCCTTTAAGACAGGAAGCTTATGGTCTAAATGCCTTTAATCTGGAAGAAGGAGCATCCCTACTTTCATCTCAACAGCTCTCGTGCCCCCAGCAAGGGAGGACAGAAAGAAATTATGAGAATAAAATGAGTCTGAAAGAGAGCTGTTGTATCTAGACCAAAGGACTGCTGGTCGGCACAGGCTCGCCACACTGTGGTCGGCACCCAGGCCAGGGATGCCCAGCACACAGGGCACCTGAGCACAGCTTTGCAGAGCTTCCCAGGGAGGGAGAGGTCAGGATACCCAACTGACAGGCAACTTAAGACAATTTTATGTTGATATAAACATGGATAAATTAGGGACCAAAATGCAAATTTATTTATTTATTTCAAGATGAAAAAAATGGACCACGAGGCTTATTTTCCACCAGTGACAATGTGCTTTGGATTATGCTGCTGGCTCCTGGGGACAGGTGTCAGCTGCCTTCCTTGAGACGGGCATTTTGGTGGAAAAGTTTGAGTCGTAATGTTTAAGCAGAAGCCTGGGCTTTGCAGGGAAACAGAATCACTTTCCTTCTTAAAGCGCCAAGGAACACCTGCTGAAGTATCCAAGCACAAGAATTTACCGGGGGAGAAGGATTCCAATTTGTCCCCCAAACTGTGTTGGGAAGTGGGGAGGAGAAAAGGAGGTAATATAGCTTCTGTTTGGGGCCCGAGGACAAGAGCTATGCCAAACATGACTCTTCTCACCTGGACGTGCGGAGATCTGGGTGTCTCTGGACTCTACTTGCCTCCTCAGATAATAACTGACTGGGCTTAAAAAGCACCATGTTCTCAGAGGAGGCATTCTCCTCCAGAGCCTCCATGCACTCCTGGGCTGGAGGAATTGCGTTTTCTCGACATTGTGTAAGAGAGAAACATGTTTTTCTGCAGATTCTGGTCAACACCTCTTACCTAAATCCAAACTTATCCATTGCTACAGAAATGTGCCGTGGCTGTGAAAAACACCTGTAGGCATTATGGTCATTCATTGGAATGAGGTCCACATCACTAAACACAAAGCAGTTGTAGTCATAGTCCTTCAGGGCCTCTTGAAAGCCAACGTTGAGGAGCTTTGCACGGTTGAACATGGATTCTCCAGCCTGGTGTAAAGCAAAAGAGTTGATATCAGATGCAGTAAGGCCTTTGAATGGACTACTCATAGGGACTGGTGACTTGTCCACACCACGTGGTCATCACGCCGCTCTTGGGCCTCATTTTCTGCCCTCACTTTACAAATCAGTACCGAATGGCATTCCCTGAATCAGCAGTCCCACCTCCAGGAGTTATCCTGTAGGACTTGCAATTGTGCAAATGACATGTGAGCAATGTGTTCACTGTGTTCACCACATGTTCATCACAGCAGAAGATTGCAAATAATGATACAAGCATCACCAGGAAACTGCTTAAACAAACCATGGACATCCATACAATGGAATAGAGCCATTTTTTAAAATACGGAAGCTCTAAAAGGAAATGATCTTCAAGATAGTATTATTAGGTATTTAAGCATATGTGGCATTTATTCACATACTACACATAAGCTAATTGCAGGAAAGATACTCAGGAAACTGGTGACTATGGCACTTTTCACTTTACCCTCCTTGCATGGTTGTCTACGGTTTGATCACCATATTGTGTGCTTTCCAGATGCCTGTCACTTAACCAGGCACCAGAGAAACATGGCAAGCCCAAGTCAACCTCTGCCCTCACGGTGCTCACAGCGCAGGGTGGGGAGCAGTGTGATACGCAGCATGATAGACCAAGTGTGTATGAGAGAGGAGGACAACTGCTTCAGGATGCCAACCATTGGGTCCCCAAGAATCAAGTATTTTGATGCAAAGGTACTTCGTATTTTATTTACTTATCTTGTTTATTTTCAGTCTCCCCCATTCAGTGAAGGCTGGAATTTTTTTTACTTTTTATTCACCCAGTGCCTAGAATACTGCCCAGCATATAATAAGAGCTCAGTAAATGACTGCTGGTTGGCTGGCTGGACAGATGGATGGATGTATGGATGCATGGAGGCATGGATGCATGGACAGATGGATGGATGGCTGACTGGATGGATGAGCAGACCAATGGATGGGCTTCAACATACAATGGCAGATGGCAATCCTTTGTGGAGGCTCCAACCAAGGAGCCCGTTGGGGGCCCTTGGGTCACCACCAAGGACCTTTGCTCCTACCAACTCCCATGACCCCAGGTTAGTAAGGACAGTAACAGCATCAACACAGCCACCCTTACACATAGCAGTTCACAAGCCCTTCCATACCTGTACTCTTTCTGACCACAATTCTCCCAACACTGCCAAGAAGAAACTAAGGCCACATAAATGACAGAGCTGGTGCTGGAGCCCAGCACTGGAATCCTCACTTAGTGCTCTTTCCCAGTACCTCATGGGATCAACAAGATCAGGGTCCTACACCTTGGGAGACAGTGTGCTCCACAAGGACCCGCAGCAGCTATGCCATCTCAAAGGCAGGACACCGAACCTTTCTCTCCAGGACTCCAGGAGTGGACTCGGAAACTGGCACTCCACCAAACTACCTGTGTGAGGACAGAGCGCACAGTGCCACAGCCCCCGAGCCTCAGGAGGGTGACTCAGAGAAACAAACAGCTTAAGAAGGATAAGCACCAGGAAGTCAGAAAAAAGCAGCTGAGAACAGTAAATGAAACATCTTACACAAGAGCTCCTTTCTTCAAGAGCTCCTTTCTTCAAGGTGGACAGCTGTGCCCAATGGCACTTGGGGCGTTTTTTGGCTGCCCCATCAGTTAAGAGTGATTTAGAAGTCTCTCTTCAGCTAATTCTGCGTAAGTCATGAGGTAAAAAGAAAAAAACCCAAAGTTTAGGAATTGCATATGAAGAGTATGAAGTTTTTGTAATTATTATTATTACAACACATTGCTAATACTTGCTGGGGGGGAATATGACACACCAGGTACAGGTAAGTGTTTTACACACATGGTGTGTCATTTAATCATCTCAACAGTCCTGTAACAACCTTCATCCAACTCAGATTTACTTCATTCCTCCCACACTCTTCTACCTTCTGATGATGGGGAGAGAGGTCTGGTACTTTTCATCCCCATAAAGACCCTATAAGAGTTAGCTTTCTCTGAACACTGTGAAATACCATTCAGCCCCACTGAACACTTTTCCAACAAATGAAAGGGCAATGTCCCAACAACGCCTTGTCCCACCTGTGTAGTAGACCCCGAGGGTGGCCATCCAGTGCTCCCTTCTCTTGGTCTGCTCCCCAATAAAAGGGGCAGGGTGTTGGCGGCCATGTTGCAACCACAGGACCTGGCCTCTGGCCACGATCGTTTGATCTGAGCAGATCCTAACTGAAAATACCCTGAGCATTTTTCCTCTCCCAGGAACAGGGAATTTGGAACCATGAATGGGTGCCTCAGGCACCAAGCCCCAAGACAACGGCAGCCTGGAGGAGAAACCCAAGGAGCAGACCTGTTCTACCCCTTCCCCCACGTGTGGTGTAAGAGCTCCTGCAACTCAATAAGGTGCTGCAGTGTCTGCTCCACACTTAGAAGTAGTCAGAGTCAGGCAGTTTTCCAACATAAACAAAACTACACATCACTCGTCCCATCCTCCCTCCCAGCCTGGCCTCACCTGATCCTGGGAGCTGCAAAGGGCGGGGTACACTTTCAAAAGTGGACCTACTAGAGCAGCAGAATAGTAGATGAGGAAAGTGTGTGTCTGTGTGTGTCCGTGTGTGTGTGTGTGTGTGTGTGTCTCTCTCTCTCTCTCTCTCTCTCTCTCTCTCTCTCTCTCTCTCTTCCTCCCCTGGGATTAAAGAAAAGTCAATCCTAGGCTGCTTTGGATAAAATGGTGTAACATCTCGGGTAACTTCCTAGATAAGAAAGACAACACCTGGCCAGTCTGCCAACCACCACCATCAACAGAAGGTGCTTGTTCTTCTCTAGCGAGTGGGAAGACACCCAGCCCTCATTCCTGTCCCTCCTCCTTGGGCACATTCATCCAATGCATCTGTCACTCCATTCACTCAGGTAAACATTGGTCAAGCACCCACTCTCTGGCAAGTACACAATTGTGACAGACACGCATCTTTACTCCAGGAACTCCAGCTTCTTCACTTATCAGCTATGGGACTCTGGGCAAATCACACCTCTAGGCCTCATTTGGTCACGGCGATGTTCACAGGTGAGTTGTATTCAACGAGACAATGCAAGAAAAGGCCTTAGCACACTGCCTGGCAACGAATGTCAGCAACTCTCATCACAGCAGGAGGTTTCCCCATCCATCCTGAACGGTCAGACCTTTCAAAATGTCTCCCAGAGACCCAGCCTGGAGACCCCTCCCTCTCACTCTTCTGTGTGTCCTTTCCAATCGGCTTCAAGGTTCCTTCCAAATCCTGCTTCTCTGATGGAAGAGGGGATTTCTAAAAAGGATTAAGGCTCAAGTGAGTTACCGTGTGGCTCATACGGTAAGGATCTCTGTAGCAGTGGAAAAAAGTCAGATAAGCTTGGGAAGTCACACTTGACAAGGAGAACATGGTGCCCTGGGAGTAGGTGAACCTCTGAATGGCCGAGCTTTTTAAGTGCAGGCTTCGTCTTATATAGGTGGACAAGAGTTATACTTATCCTTTTGGCTGGATCCTCTTAACAGAGGGAGAGGACAAGAAGGAAGAAGAAAGGCCAAAAGCAATAGGACATTCCCTAGCTGGACAGGGCAGCTGTCTCCCTGACCAAAGCGCACAGAAAAGCCCAGACATTGTTAATCTGACAGTGGGTGTATCAGTCAAGCTAAGCCAACAATAGTCAGTCTAGAGAGGACAGGAGCCTGGGCCTGATCAGGAATGTGGGCCTACGATAGAGTGAGGAGACGTGAAGAGGGAGGCTCGGTACAGGCCAAAGGCCAACTTTCTCAGGGGAGAGAAGAGTCTACAGCCTCAGACACTTCATGTAGCAAACCCAGTGCCCTTTTGGCAAATCCAGGTGGCAGGGACAAATGTCTTAAGATGTGCCAGATGGCTCTCCAGAGCTATTAAAACCTTTTTCTAGTGCTCCATTTACAGTAAACATTAGAGAGAGCAAGGAGTATGTCCACTGAAAATGGAATCCTCATACAATGCTGGTGGGAATATAAAATTGTGCCGCCATCTTGGAAAGTCTGGAGTCCTGGATGAACAAAGAGTTACCATGTGATCCAGCAATTCCACTCCTGGCTCTATACCTAAAAGTACTGAAAACATGTCCACACAAGAACTTTCACACGGCGCTCATAGTAGCATGATTCAAAATAGCTAAAAAGTGGAAACAACACAAATGTCCGTTAACTGGTGAATGGATAAATAAAACGTGGGATATCCATGCAATTCAATGCTACTCAGCAATAGAGAGAAATGAAGTACTGATCCATGCTATAATGTGGATGAACCTTGAGAACATCATGCTTCAATGAAAGAAGCCAGTCCCAAAGGACAACATGTTACGAGATTCCATTTATATGGACGGTCCAGAATAGGCAAAGCCATAAAGACAGAAAGTGGGCTAGTGGCTGCCAGGGCTGGAGGGAATGGAGGAATTGGTAACTAAGCAGTATGGGGGTTTTTTTTTGGCTTAATGAAAATGTTCTAAAGTTGATTGTGGTGATAGATGCACAACTCTGAATACACTAAAAGCCACTGAATTATATACTTTAAATAGGTGAATTGTATGGTATGTGACTATATCTCAATAAAGTGATTACCAAAAAAGAAAGAAAAGGAAAGCCAGGAGAGGACCAGAGGGTCCTGTTTCTCCCTCTTTCTCATATATTCATTCACATCACTCATTGGGTATCTACTCTATGCTTAGCAGTAGGGATACAGAAAAAAAAAAAAAGACACAAGCCTTGCTTTTGAGGAGTTCCAAGGTAAACAGGCAATTGTAATGGGGTGATGACCTCTTCATGGCGGACAGTTACTGGGGAGGGGAGGAGAAGGGAGCTACATAGCCCGGCACGTATGCAGAAGTGGAGGTGGAGACACGAATCAATCCTAGGGAATCAGACAAGGCTTCGGAGAAGTTAGCCAAGTTCAGGGGAGGCATGAGAAGAATATTCCTAGGGCAGAGCAGCATT